GCCCCGCCCCGCCCCGCATGCCGTTCAGACAGCGCGGGGAGTGAGGGGGGGGGGGGGGGGGTACGCTGTAGAGGGTGGACTGCAGGATGCGTGGTCTTGGGCTTTGTGGAGACTTGTGTGCTTACGGCTCTTGTGTGCAGTTTGCGCGGCTACTGATTGGCTTACTGCATCTGGTTGGCTAGTTCACTGACTGGTGGACCGGCATATGCTGCGGTTCAACTGTCATGGTATTCATATCCCTACAGGTGAAGTCGTTTTGGGTTGGATGCCAGTCCTGTGTCGCGCGAGGGTTGGTCGCGTGGGTACGCCTACAGTCCCAAGGCCGCTCGGCGGGCCGAGCCCAGCCGGTGTGTGTCGGCCGTCCCAGCCACTCCTCTCCACCGTCCGCCGTCCGCCGGCAGTGTGCCGCAGCTCAGCGACACGCTGGCGGCTCACCACCGGACGGGCCCGGTACCGACGGCGACGGTGGCGCCGCCGCACCGGCCGGCAGAGCTCAGTCAGGCCACCGCCGAGCGTGTGGACGCCGTACTGACGCGACTGCAACAGGACGCCGAGGTTAGGGGTCGGAGCAGGGAGGTCAGGGGTGGGGACGCCCACGGTAGGTGCGGGGACGCCGGGGTCAGGGATGGGGAGTGGGACGCCAGAGTCGGGAGCGGTGAGGGTGGATAAGAGCAGGGGACGGCAGGGTCAGGGACAGACGTCGAAGTCAGATGCAGGAGATAGCTAGGTCGGGGGCTTGCAACAGCGAAGCAGTGGCTTGGTCACCGACCTTGGACGTACTGACTTGCGCACATCGTGCATCAATGGTATCTAGTATCGCTAGCTTTGTGAACTTCAGAAATAGTCATGTCGTGCTGCGTGCCTCTAGCCCCATAAAGAAGTGCAGTGACTGGCAACGCGAGGTGGTGTTGCGACGTGCGTGAGTGGATCGCGGTCACAGCTGTGTCTGAGGGTCCGTCTTGTGGCTCGGAGCGGCGGCTGACGTCCGCGCCGCCCTTGTGCCGTCAGTTGAAGGACAGCCTCTCTCTCGTGGACGTGATGGAGCTGTACGAGTTCAAGGTGGCCTCGCTGACGGAGACGGTGGCCGAGCTGGAGCAGGCCCTGGACTCGGCCTCCAGTCTCCATATGTCGCTCCGACTGCAGGGCGCTCAGGCCAGCGCCGAGGTGAGCGCCCGTCTGACGGCGCCGGGCGGCCGCGCCGCTCAGGCGTCGCCGCTGACGGCTCCCGGCGGACAGACAGTGCTCTAGTGACGGCACCCCGCCCGAAGAGCACCCGATGTCTTGAGCGGCTGTGGTTTTCTCCCGGGACTGTTGGTATCCCGAAGTGGACGGCTGCCGGACTCGGGACGTACTACGCTGTCGTGTGGAGATGGCGTGGACCCGCGCACTGCCGCGCCACTGCTGGCAACTGTCCCCGCCTCCCGGCATCAGCCCGATGTCACGCCTCTCTCGCCGGCAGGGCGCGGCCGTGCGGCGTCTGCTGGTGGCGGCCGAGCGCCGTGTCGAGGCGCTGCGTGCGGCCGGCCGCGCCAGCGAGGCGCGCGCCGCCACCGCCGACTCGCAGCTGGCGCGGCTGCGTGACGAGCGTGCCATATGCGAGCGCGAGACGCAGCAGCAGCACGCGCACGCGCAGCGGCTGGAGCGCGAGCTGGCGGCGCGCACCGAGAGCCTGCGGGCGGCGCAGCAGGCCGTGGCCGAGACGGAGGCCCGCCACGCCCGACTGGCCGAGCAGGCGGCCGCGCTCACCACCGCCAACGAAGGTACGCACAGGGCCGCCCGGCCGGCGCCCCAGTCCGGCCGAAGTTGCAACGGCTGGGCGCACGGACACTGTGGTGTGTTTTTGAGCCATGTGTATCTCCATTGTTCATACTGGCGTTCTTGTCTGGTTTGCCAGTATGAATGCAACGTTTCTGCTAGTTTTTTTTTTTCTCCGGCTGCCGTTGAGTGTCATTGAGTTCTGAGGACTAGATGGTGGTCGGCTTTCAGCCTTGGTATCGTCACAACCCCCATTTATGTTCTTGCAATGGCTAAGATTCGAACCGGGGTTTTCTGTGTCGAACTTTTTACCAGCCGAGCTGACTTGGAAGGACAGTTGGTAAAGCGCTAGACTCGTCATGGGCCAACCTGGTTCGAATCTTATCAATTCCAAGAGGAGGGTTCGGATTTTGAGGCGTACGTAACTAAAAGCCAAACAATGTTCATTCGTTTTCAGAACTCATAAACACCACACGATAGCCGGAGAATTAACTGGCCGAAACGTGGTGTACACACTATCGCACCAGACGAGGTCGATAGTCTGAAGAATCATTCCATACGGGATGTATTAACCCCTCGTCCTCGCCCTGTAAAAGTCTATCGTCATTTACTTCCTCTGTTACTCTACGTCATTTTCATTTTGAATAACAGGCAAGACTGCGAGGAGGTGGAGACTTCTTTTGTGTCTGACATATTTTAAATGACAGGTTTTTCTGATGACTGATTAGACAAAGTCCAGCCCGGGTCAGGCAGAGCTCGCTGCCGCGCGATCGGTGGCATGATCGGGCGCCCCCCGCCCGTCGAGGACGCCACCCCTGAAGCTGAGCTCGGCCCGCGTTTCCAGAGCTGCGCGCAGCCGGCCAGCGTCAGGAGGCCACCCTGCAGGAGCGGGACGGTCGGCTGCAGGAGACGGCGCGCGCCCTCCAGCAACGTGAGCAGGAGGCGGCCTCGCTGCGCAACGAGGTCAACAACCTGGAGCTGCTCTGCAAGTCGCAGGAGCAGAGCCTGGCGGAGAAGGAGCAGGAGTGTGCTGAACTCTTGGACGACAACCGCAGCCTGCGCAAGATCCAGGACATGATTCACAGCATCAGCTCCAAGAACAAGGAGAAGAAGTGAGCGCGCTGGCGCCCTGGGATGAGACTCGTGGCCAGTGCGGGGAGAGGGAGCCGGGCCGCTGCGTTGGGGCGGACCGATCAGCAACGAAAATGGCGTCCGCCAGCTGGCGTCGTCATGGCAACGACCACGACCTGTCTTGGACTGGGCTGTCACGATCTGTCTGAATTGGATTTTGTTGATGGAGGACTAAGTGCATTGTCCGAAGGAAGCCTGTTACTACGGTCACTGAACTGGCATTCAGACGCGTTTGAGTGATGCAATATGCCTGCGGTCGTAGCCTGTCTAACGGTCATCGATGCGGCTTTCTAGCTGTCAGTACGGCCGTCACTGCCTGGTAAATGGTAGTAGTAAGTGGCGCTCGAAAGTGAAGGCTTCACGTGTAAAAATCTGCGCACAGATGTGAGCAAGCGAATAGTGACATTCCATGTGAAGTGTGTTCCGGTCAACCCCTCATACGGAGGTGCAGGTTTTTAATATCGCTTCATCAGGTTATTATGCGGGCTCCGGATTAAACAAATCTGTGCTGCCTCTTACTGCATTCAATAGCCTGAGGGAGCTCAGTGCACAGCGCCGCCCGCACACGGTCGTAAATCGTGCGCGGCAAGAATGAAAAGGAAAGTTGATGTTATCCAAACGTCGCGTCACTGCGATCATCCTGAGTCTGGAGCCTCATTCATGGAGTCTGGAGGCTTTCATTTCTGGGGCCGAGCAAGCAAGCCCCTTGTAAGCATTACAACATATACGATCCGCCATTAATATGCTGAGGCGATATACCGAATTCCATGGCGCTGTGAACTCACTGTGGCGAGCAGTTATGAAAAAAAAACAAGCCGCTGCGTGGCCATGGAAAGAACCGGCGCGCGCCGTGCACACGTTTCGGCCACGGACCAGTGCTTTTCATGGCGGTTGTCGGAGTGCGGCAACTCTCAGGTACGTGACAGTCGGTCTCCGGTGCCAACTGTCAGGTACGTGACAGTCCGCCTCCGGCGCCAACTGTCGGGTACGTGAGTCCGTCTCCGGCAGCAACCAGAGGAAACACACGCTGGAGGTCACCCGCTTGAGATACTCCCGGCCTTTCCAGAGCCACTGCCGCGACACGACATGCAGGCTGTCAGCCCCGCCGCTCCACAACCACGCGCACTACAACCAAACGAGCGAGCCGGAGACTCCCTACCAAAAGCGTGCACCCAACAGTGTGCGTGACCTCCAACCGTCTGTCGAATGCGGGGCGGTTGGCGCGGCGTTCACTGCTCGAGCCACGTCAGCTGACGTTTCGCCACCTGAGCCGACACATGAAGTTCAGTTTGTTAAAGTGACCGCCAGACCCTTTGGTACCGTGTCTTATGTTATCCACTTAAACGAGGACTTGCTCGGGACTTGCCTGGCCTCGTTAGGACAACCGCGAAGAAGTGATGCTACTGGTGTTGACGTCATTTTGGTGTTGTCATCTGTTATCCTTGCGGGCTGCGCGTGCTCAACAGACACGACCAAAATGGAACCTGCTGTACAATCCAGGTGCGTAACAGGTACAAAAACGCCACACTGTGATGTGCGTGTGGCAAAACTAAACTCTGTCTGCCAGGCCGACTTCTGCAAGCCAAGCAACCAAGATTATTTCAGAGCTGCTTAGTTGGGAGCTGGCCGCGACACCAGAAAACGGGGGGCTGTAAGGATGGTGCCAAGCAACTGCAACACACAACACTCAACTCAGGTCAGCCACCACTTGTTTATAACCATGGAGTCCATACATGATGCATTAATGCCCTGGACGCGCCACCTCCATTCTTGTAAACTATGCACTTCTCGAATATTCGGGTCTATCGTAAAGCAATAACTGCGGGTAATGAGACGCGTGTCCGCATTCGCATTTCGCACACGTTCTAACAATTCAGACTAATACTGACCACACGTATAATACGGGGAAACAAAATCCTACGAGCAGCATAAATAACCTCAGCTCACATATCAAGGGACGCCGCCACCTGGAATACGCGGTGAACAAAAAGTGTACCAAAGCTAATGTCAGAGACCACAACCAGAGCGCAAACAGCCGCATTGAAGAACACTTCTTTGGTGGTAACCCCAGCACCCCGCTGCGTCCCCAAACCCGCCCTTGACGGCGACCCTGCCTAGCCCCGGTCACCGACTTCCTCCGCTCCCGCCGCGGCGTCCAGCTCTTTGTCAATGATCTCCCGGAACTCGAGCATGGCCAGCGGGTCGCGGTGCTCCATGGCATCGGCCATGCTCCAGCGGGCGGCGTCGGCGCGGTACGGCGGCTCGGCCAGCAGGCGGAGCGTGGCCGCCGCCGCTTCCGCCATGTCGTCCGCCGCCGGGAACAGCCGAGTCGTCCACAGCGTGCCACTGGCCGACTCCACCGGCCGGCCCAGCAGCCGCGCCGGTCCCGTCTTCACCTCGTCCCACACGCCCACGGCCAGCGCCACGTGCTGGCGCCGGCCGCGCCACGTGACGGCCGCCGTGTGCAGCAGCACGTGCGCCGGCACGTGGGCCGGCCCGGCCACGTGGCAGTGGCTGAGCAGGGCGCCGTCGCCGGCCGTGACGTGGCCGTCCAGCCGGCAGAACTCTGCCAGCGCGCCGGCCGCCAGCCGCGCCTCGGCCGACAGTAGCGAGCTGAGCACGGCGGCCGGCTGCGGCGGCCCGAGCGCGCGGCAGCGCCGGCGCAGGCCCAGCGCCGTCGACAGCGCGCCGCCGCCGCCGCTCAGGTGCTCCAGGTACTCGGGCAGCGTGCCCAGGTGGAAGAACCGGGAGCGCGGCACCACCAGCACGCGCAGCGGTACCCCCTGCAGGGCGTCGAAGGTGAGCGCGCGCGCCGAGTCGGCCGCCAGCTGCGGCAGCACGTCCGACTGGTAGTGACTGGGCCGCCGGCGCCCCAGACACGGCAGGAAGTCGCGGTACGCGCTCAGCTCCTCGGTCAGCGGCAGCAGACGGACGTACAGCTTCTCAAGGCGGCGCTGCGCTGACGGGCTGATCCAGAACGCGCCGTCAATGTGCACCGTCTCCTGGTCACCTGCCGCGAGACGGAGACGACTGATGACGGGGCACGGACCGGGGCACCTGCCGGCGGCCAGCCAGGGATAACTCAGCGAGCTCGTCCCTTAACGTCTGTACAAAACCACGCCAATTCATCCCATCAGGAGCGAGAAATACAAAATGCTGCGCAGCAAAGAATTGGGCTTCTGTCCGCGTTTGATGCAGTCACAAGTTCAAACACATGTTTTCCATAGCCTGGCACTAAGCGGAACACTATCATGCCCGTGACAACTACGGGGTGACCAGCTCTGATGACGGACAGGGGCGCAGCCAGGATTCCGCCCAGGATGGGGCCAAATCGTGACATGGGGGCCGCGTAAGCCACGGGGCCCCGCTCGTCACCATAAGTGTCCTACTTTTGGATTGGAGACATTTTTAACTCAGGAGCCCACTTTGGTGCAACGGGGGGCTCGTTTCTGATGATTCGGACGTGTTCGAACAGCCAAAATGGACTGGGACCATTGGGTCCCGGGAACTCCACCTGCAGTGAGAGGGATGTGGCTCCAAAGAGCTGCCCTCCTCGGCTGCGGCGCCGTGAGAGGTAGCCGGGTATGTCACATGTACTGTGCTCGCCAGCTGAGCGCACCTGTATATGTGGATACTGCACAGATGCTCTGCCTGCACAATCCACAATGACCTCATCGCAATGGCAGCAGCTGCAATGAGTCCAAACTGTGATGGCACAAGTGGAAAGTGAACGCTCTTACAACTGCCCACCTGCCACGAGGACTGCTCCTCGTTCTCGCATCAGCTGCTCGCTGGGTTTCTGCAGCACCTCCTCACAAGGCGATGTGTACAAATGTTCATTCCCGTGCTTCTCGTCAGGTGGCAGCACGTACACGCCATGGTTGACTGCCACTGACACCGGGGCTGGGTGGGCCAGCGCCACAAAGCCTTCCATGCCGTCGGCAAACAGATCCTCTGCGGGCGAGAGAATCGAGGCGCATGGACCTCTGTCGCACAACAGCACTGAGGCGGACTTAATACAACATGCCAGCTACCAAAATTGTGAGACACGTGTCAATTCATATTTCATATTCGTAAACGCGTTCAGCGCTTTGCTCATATTGCGCAGCAATATGATACCTTCGATCTCGTGGGCGCTATGAAAATCAGCCATGCCGGGGAGGGGAAAATGCAACGAAATCGTTCACTGAAAATATACCAACTTCGAACCAACCTGTGTACGCAATGAGCGACCAGCAAAACACGAAACGACAAATCAAAAGGCTTCTTCTGCAAGTCAATTGAACTGAATGTTGACACCATATCTGGCGCAGTTAAGCTCGCATATCCTACCGTACCGTTTCATTTCCATGATGCGCCATTTTCACTACTTCATAGACTATGAGAACATTCACATATGACACTACGTTCGCCATTGGCATCCTAACGCTCTATTTATACAAGGTGAGCTTAACGTCTCGGTTTCCCGAGAGCAGCATTTGTTCACGAAAAGGATTGTTATATCTACCGCTACTCGCCAGTCACAATGGGTGACTGGCGAATGTGTATATATATATATATATATATATATACACACACACACATATATATATATATATATATATATATATATATATATATATATATATATATGGATGCTGCACGATCACCACACAATCCCCGCCCTCCCGTTGCAGTTCGTAACTGTCAATGGCCGGAGCCATGGCCTGCGGGTGCATGAGCCGTCAATCGTACAGGGTGGTGGGAGGAGCGGGAGCTGGCGGACGGTGGGAGGAGCGGGAGCTGGCGGGCGGTGAGAGGAGCGGAAGCTGGCGGGTGGTGGGAGGAGCGGGAGCTGGCGGGAGGTGGGAGGAGCGAAGGCTGGCGGGTGGTGGGAGGAGTGGAAGCTGGCGGGAGGTGGGAGGAGCGAAGGCTGGCGGGTGGTGGGAGGAGCGGAAGCTGGCGGGAGGTGGGAGGAGCGAAGGCTGGCGGGTGGTGGGAGGAGTGGAAGCTGGCGGGAGGTGGGAGGAGCGAAGGCTGGCGGGTGGTGGGAGGAGCGGAAGCTGGCGGGAGGTGGGAGGAGCGAAGGCTGGCGGGTGGTGGGAGGGGCGGAAGCTGGCGGGAGGTGGGAGGAGAGGGGGCGTACCTGGTAGCCGTGGCGGCAGCCAGGCTAGCTGGATGTCGTCGCAACCGGTGAAGAACATGCCAGCCGGCAGCAGCGCCGCGTACGGCAGGTACATGGTCAGCTTGACGTCCAGCATGGTTAGCGAACGGCCGCCCACCGGCAGCGGGCTGAAAATCTTGCCCAGCACGGCATGGTGCACCAGTCGCTTGCTGAAGCCGCCTGGGGGCGCCGGACGGACGCGGTATGCGGCTGACCCAGCTCGTCAGAGCGTGTTACACGGCTGGATACCAGAGATCAGAGTGGGCGGGTGGATCAACACACGGGCAGGCGCGACACAGCATAGAAAAAAGCCACGATAGGAAGATGTCAGGGTGCCAAGCATGCATCGTGAAGTGAAGATATATCCCAGTGTGAGCTAAATACACAAACACATAGGATTACGGATGACAGCAGGACACAATAGATATCAAAACACTGCAGTACATGCTTCAAGAGATCTGCCAACCAACTGCAAGGACTAAAGCTTCTTCAGTTTTCCAAAATGGCACATAAAAGCTACGAAGACGAAGAAGGCAAAAACTTTGCGCTGGACCATCACACGACGGTATCGTCAACTTTTTCATCGAGCTTAAGTCCCCAAACACAAGCATGACACCACGGCGGAAAACGCAGCGGCACAGGAGGGGCGGCGTGACTCGCGGCTGTGCGCCGCTGCACCAGGCGGGGAACGCAGCGGCACAGGAGGGGCGGCGTGACCCGCGGCTGTGCACCGCTGCACCAGGCGGGGAACGTAGCAGCACAGGAGGGGCGGCGTGACCCGCGGCTGTGCGCCGCTGCACCAGGCGGCGTCGGCTGGCTGACCTGCGTGGATGACCAGCACGCGCAGCGAGTCGAGTTGGTCGCCGAGCTCGGCGCGCAGCGTCTGCAGCAGGTGGAGCGTGGCGCCGCCGCACTCCACCTTGGGCCCGGGCGGGTCGGCCGCCACCCGGTAGGAGGCGGCCGGCGGCAGCGCGTGTCGCGCCAGACAGCGGCGGAACGCCGCCTCGACGCGCGCTTCGTTGGTGCAGCACAGCACCACCAGGTCCCAGAACGGGATGGAGTCATCGCCAGCTGTTGGCCCAATGGTAACGGGTGACCGAAGGCCGGCGACGAAACCGAGTTTAGTGGGTGAGGTGAAGAACAGGACCTGTGGGGGGGGGGGGGGGGGCAGCCAGCCTACACTGCAGGCGCCCAGCGTGGACAGCGGTGTCAAGTACAAACCACAGTTGATGGTATAGACAGCGCGTGGTAGCTGTTCTGTGTAACTAAATGCTTCCCACGCATTCTGGGAGATACTGCTAACAAGGGTCATATTACTGTAACGACACTTCGTCCTTTGAACAGTCGTTCAGTGTTACAATTGAGTAGAGATGTATGCGCAACATGCACAAAATGGATACTGCATGGACATACAGGTGCATACATATTGCAACAGCACACAGATCACAGCGTTCCACACGCACACCCGGACGTCCACAGGAAACCACATAAAAAACGAAACATAACTCAGTTGCATGTTAAAAGTAGCTTAAGACTGTGGCCTCTATTACAACGCCTCGAAGGTAGGAAAACAGTCTCACCTTTGAGCCGTTCATACTTCTCGAAAAGCTCGGCCGTGTACTCGGCTATGAGCTCCGTGGTCATGTCAGGAGTCGTCGTATGACTGCATGGGGTGCCAAGTCCCTCTAACGACCAGGCCGGCGTCGACTCCGACCGGCGCCACGTGGCGCGGTCGGTGGCCTTCAGTTAAGCAGCCACTGGCAAGCCGGTTCGTCGCGATCGATGGCGTTCAGCGCCGACTCATGCCTGCTGCCGTTGCCGTCGCACTTTCCCGGCGCCTGGACGAACGCTCTCGGCGACTGATCGTCTCTGGCCGACCTCTTCCGCCGCGGGGTGACGCCGTTCAGCGCCGAGCGTCGGCGTCCGCGCGCCCAGTCCGCTCCCGCCGCCGCTATCAGCGGCCCAGGCGGGAGTTATCAGCGGGAGCTGACGTGGCGCTGATACGGCAGCCGACAGCCGACAGGGCGTGCTGGCTGATGGCGCTGAGCAGCTGGCAGTTGATATGGCACACTGGTCGACGCCGCGTCTGTCTGCGTCACACACCTGCAACAGAGGTGACATGGTCAAAGGGCTGCACACTGACCAACAGGTGGGGGGGGGGGGGGGGGATCTGACATCTCTCACAGGCATAGATGTGGACTGGGAGTAGGGAGAGGGTGAAATTGCAGTGGTTACCATCTTAGACTCCCATGTGGGGGACCTGGTTTGAATCCTGGTTGTGCCATGGCCTCTGAGCACTACCATACCCAATGCTGCTGCTGGTGTGTCATAAAGTGGTGTGGCAACATGCATCATGCTGCCTTGTTATAAACAACACAAAGAAAGAACTGTGAGAAACATGGCCAGGACAAGTTAACAGTTAAATGTTGATATATTTTTGCATGCAGGACAGAAAAAGAAGTTTGACAAATTTACATGTGGCTATTGTCAAGAAATGCTTATCTAAATGTTTTCCTTGACATCTTTAAGGGGTTCTTGATGAATGTGGATTAAGGGACTTCCCAACCCTTTGGATCCCTAAAATGGCAAAGTTAATGAAGATATAATTATGGTTAAACTGATATAATTAAAAACTACACAAGCCTAGCTTCATTGGGTACCATTTAAACACTAACATCATATGCTACCGAAAGTTTAGGCCTTTCCAGGAGATGACTCAAAAGAACAAAAATATAGCTGGCCAAAATATGTGTGTTTTATCTGTTTGGAGTCTGGATGCACACATTTGGGGTGAGGTTAGGGTGTCAAGCCCTTGGTTCTAGCCTCAACTATGTATGCAGATCTATATCCCTGCTCTGAATGGCAAAAACAATGCATAGCTCAGAGCATCAGAGCAGAGCAGGATGTATTATGATGAACCACTCAAGGCAGTTTTGAGGGTCAGATGAACCATTTCTCCATTAAAAATGTGATTATTTGAGGTTTAGGGCATGCTGGCATCAGCAGTCATTAAGAATGAGGGTGTGAAATCTGTTAACACAGTTCAAATATTAAAATCCATTCAACAACAGCCATCTAGATATCCTTCTCTTGAGACAGTAAATTTCCCACCCCAGCATGGATGTACTTTGGTATATCTCGAAAATGCAACATATTCCATGCAGCAACAACCAGTCGGCATCGGCAATCAATATTAGTTTAACTATCCATGAATAAAAAATGGTGCGAGCAGACACGTGCCAAGATAAGAAATCATCATCGCCTAAATACAGCTGCAAGCTACTTTAGCATATCATTTCGAATATAATTGCATTTTTACTCTAACTGGCCTTGATTACATCGAAAAGCTTTACGATTTATTGCAACAGCCTCACCATAAATGCCGTTAGTTAGGCGCTACCAATTTTGGGTTATAATATTCTAACCCTAGTCTTACTCCCCGACTCTAGCATATTTATTGCATGTTCCAGCATATACTAGTAGATGCGTAGGAGCACGCAGCGTGTGTCGTTGCACTTTTGTCCTGCTTCTGGCAGTGCGGCTGTGGTGTTCAGCACCAGATGAAATTATAGCATTCAGATGAAACTATAACTGGTTAAAAAACCTCAGCTGGATTACGTACCGTTCGGTCTTGTTTAAAACAGAAACCACGCCTAGGCCTAGTACGAGAATATTTACTGAACCTCACCGTAACTTGGCTTCGCTAGGCAAAGAACAGTCAATCAATCTGTGTAATTTAATCACACAACTGTTTTATTGCGCCATGGCCATTGCAATCAGGAAAACAAAAACCTACGACACACCGAAAAGTCCATCACTTGCGGAAACGCTTCGGGCTAGTTGGAGACGCACGAAGTCAAAAGGTAGTGCTGCCAATTCACTGTTGCGAGCCTATCTTTACCTTCCCACCTGCGTCACCTGCGATGGTCCGCGCTCAAACTGGTGCGAGGCCCTGAGCTGTTGGTGGTCGTTGGGCTGGCGGTTGGGGTGATTGAGTGAACTGTTTGGGCCAGGTAAGAGATTGTGATGCGTGTGCAAAATGTGGCAGTCACCAAAAATTGAAGGGGCCATCGCGCCTGTATAGGCCGAACATTCCGATGCCCGATGCTAGTTGTTCCATTAGAGGCGCAAGGGCGTCGCCCAGGCAATTCAAATGGTAGCTGGAACCGACATCTATGAACGCCAAACGGCAAAAATACACACTGCCCCCAGTGTGTGCGGTGTGGCGGCAACATTGTGCAACACTTCTAGTGCATATATGCCATAAATCAGTGAGTGTTCAGTGTCCATGTGCTGTCAACATGAATGTCATTGCATGGAGAGCCAATGTTTCAAGTGATCTGCTGTTGCAAAGGGGTTGTGTCTCCTTCGATGCAAAGAGACAGGTGTGAGATGAAGCAAATTTTTAAGAAAATAGGCTTAATTTGGACATGTTAGTCATCTGGGTAGTGCATTTCTCTTAGACTAACTCCTTTGTTGCACTGTTGGCTATTACTTGTGCCTGGTTTGATTCATGGTGATTGAGGTTAATGAGGGACATGTGGAAAGAACATAAGGATGAGGGTCAGGATATAAGGGTGTTGGAAGCACCATTACAAGTTGGTTGAGGTGTTGGCCGATATGAGGGGTGTTCAGATAGTTTGGTTGGGTTTTGGTCAGCCATTATGAGTGCTACATTTAACAAGATGTACACACAATGACTGTGACAGTTGTTACACTCCTAAACAGCAATAACCAATAAGAGGACATGTGCAAAGAGAGATGAATAGGAATGTCTAAACTGAAGTTTGTTGACTACCTTATTTTTACTCAATATTCCATAGTCATGTTCTATTAATGTTGGTGAAGATTTTGATGTGGGTAGGTTATGTTTATTTCCCTGCCTTGAATCAAAATATATGTAGGATAGAAGCAGCTACCCACTGGGATGGCATCAAGCTAATAGGATAAAATATGATGTTCTGTGAAGCAAATGGCATATTCCTTTGTACATCCAAAGTATTACAATGATTTGAAAAACATTGCCACTTAATGTACTTGTTCTCTTCCTGGTTTAAATAAATGTGAGCTTTCTAGTGATCTAGTGAACTTGGATGTCATGTGGGTTGTATCAGCCATGAAGACAGCACTTTCACAGCCTGTAAACTGGGCAACTACTGTGCTCATGTGGCAAAGAAAAGAGGCTCCTTTGCTTCATTTAAATGTTGTGTTTTAATGGAGTCATTCTTAGCCAGGTAAGTATTCTCATGCTATCACAAAAGTCATGTTGTCTTTTGTGTATTAAGTATTAGCCAGGTTTTAAAAATGTAATCCTTTGTTCTTAAAAGTTGTAGTGTTTCATGCCCTTGAATCATTGAATCATTCACAGCTAAAAGAATTAAAGGCTTAAGTTGTATGTATGTGCTGTATTAACCTGTGCCCTGATGGGGGTCGCAGTCAATGTTATCCTGTCTTGTTTTTTTTCCTGATACCTGTGATATATATATATATATTTTATGTCTGTGGGCATGGCATGCCATGAACTCACCCCTAGATTTCCAGTAGCCCCTAGGGCACAACCAAGTATTTTGACACCAAAGTAACCAGTGATGTTTTTAGTCTTTGATCAGAGAAGGCTTTTTAAGAACACTGCACAGCAGTCTACTGCCTATGTGGGTGGCTGCCATGAATCTGGGAATCCGCGGATTGCAGGTGTCTGGGAAGCCACTGTCACATTAACAGAACCCAACATCCTCGATGTTTGCTCGAGATGTGCAACACAATGTATAAATATACTCAAAATTTAACAAAACACACATCTGTTGGAGTTTCATGTTGCGTCGCGTGGTTTCATATGTTTTGGGATGTGACGTCGAAACGGTTCGATTTTCGGGAAATGTCGGCGTTTGACCTGGCATATTGGGATTTATTATTGACCACCAACTGCAAAATGTAAGCGATCGGGAGGTCTCTCAGAGATGAATTCAGTGTTGTTTTTGCGTACGCTTATGATCGGGAGATGGCGGGGTTCGGGTCTCGAGGTTCGGGTTCGAAAAAGAACGGCGAATCTGGCCAAGGGTTTAGATATCATTTGTCGCAGTTTCCTCAGAAAGTTATGGCCCAGCTATTTCTGAGCCAGCCTGTGTGTCCGAGCATGTGAGCATGCTGGCACAGGCCTGAGCAGACAATTTTTAAACGGGTGGAATATGTGTTCGTTCGATCGTCGTATGCACCAGTATGTAGCACACTAAGTTTTGGCCAGGTACGTCTTAGGCCGCCATGTGTTGTTGAGTCTTGATAAAACTATGGGCGTTAACCTTTCAGACATGTCTGCACCCAACCATTTTTTCTTGGAATAGCTGGAGTCACGTGCGTGTCACAACCTGAATGTTCTTGAAAATGCTGGCACTGGAATCGCGCCCGCTGACTGCAAGTCGAGCGCTCTACCACTGAGCTAACCGCGGAGGGCTTCCAGTTAGTGCTCTTCCCGGCTTACCCAGTGGTAGGGCGCTGGACTTGCATTCAGAAGGCCCTGGTTCGAATTCCAGCAATTTCAAGGAGAAAATTCAGGTTGTGACGCGTACATGACTGAAAACTGAACAACATTCAGTTCTTCTCAGGACTTAATTACACCCGACAACGGCCGAAGAATTAGCCATCGAAACGTCACGTATGTGCATGCACTCCACACGGGGACGATTGTCCGAGCAGCGATTCCATGCCGCAGCCGCCTGTTGCACTAACTGCGGGTGCTGTCGAGGAGGTGGAGCTTGCGAGTGCGGTGGGTGAGCGTCTAGGTGCGTTGGCAGGACGTGCTGGCGATGTCAGCATGAGCGTGGCACCTGGCAACTTCACCGTCTACCCACCTGGTCATCCCGCATACGCGCCGGCGGCGTGGTCCGACTTCAGCGGCTTCTACATTGGTCTCGGCATCAGCCTGACGCTGCTCGTGCTGCTGGTCTGCACCAACTTCATCTGCTGCTGCTGCTGCACCAAGTACGGGTGCCTTTTGGCGGATAGTACCAGGGGTCAACACTCCCCAATGCGCTGATATTTTCATTCGATGTGATCTATAATAATGCTTAAGAAATTTAAGAAAATGAGCATCGGGGAAAACCGTTTGCATTGTCAAACAATATCTTTACCACCCTCCCCCCTTAAAGATTGGTAGTGTTAATTGGTTCCATCTTGTCACATGTACCCTTAAAGGGAACGTTCCACATTTGCGTGAGGTTTTGAACCAAAAAAGCTTCTTGAAGAACATTCGGTGCAGTTCATAGCCCTGTCCTTTAGACCTAATCCCTCTAGTTTGTCAGCTGCACGCCCGCGAAGATGCACAGACTATTTCGGGCTGACTGATTCAAGGTTACCCGGGCATTCATGACGTCATAATAACGTCGATCAAATCCTGTCATTCCATTGGCCATGCGGCCATGAAGGCCAAGAAAAATACTATGGTCGAGTCGTTTACATCTGGTGTTCGTGTGCACGACTTTCACAAATACCACCGTCAGCTGACCCTCAACCAGTGTTGTACAGGGTAGAATGACGAAATCAAACAGTGACACATTGAGGAGCATATTTACATAATAGAGAAATTGTGTTGTCTAGAGCAGCCTTTTCCACTTAAAAGTACACCAATAGTTATAAGTGCTTATTTCATCGTATCTGATGCTTGATTCAATATCATACAATGTGGAGCATTCCCGTTAATAAAAGTGCAAAAACAATGTTCCCTTGGGTCCAGGAACGCGCCTCTGCCAGATTGGAAGCCTCACCTAGGTGTGGTTTACATCGTTCATTATTATTCGCAGGTACAAACACTACATTAGGGACCCGAAGACGGGGAACCGCTGGGCCTACCCGCTGTTTATTATGACGCCGAAGCACGCCGAGCCTCTTGACATCTGATCACCTGATTGGCGTCGCGTCTCTTGTACTGCCGCTCAGCTGTTGAGGGTCTGCAGAAGCGCTGACCGCAGGCAGCTCCTCCCAGCTCAGCGATGCTGCACGCCGCATGGCCTCCGGTGGCCTGCCTGGCGCTGCTCGTCGTCGTCGTGATCGTGCTGATCCTCAAGTACGGCCACAAGTGCTTCGGCGCGCGCGTGACGACACTGCCGCAGCCGTGGGAGCGCCACGGCTCGCAGTACCAGTACCAGATGGACGTACTGGACACGTCAGCGCGCCCCGAGGCCGAGACGCCGCTCAAGCAGCCGCTCGACCCCAGCGACCTCATCGACACGCGCCAGCGCACGCTGCAGCCGGACGACTCGCCCGAGCCCGGGTACGGCCTGCCCGAGCCCGCCGACCTGCTGGAGGTCAGGTACGGCTCGCGCGAGCGCATGGAGATTATCGAGCCGACGCCGCGCTACGCGTCGCGCGAGGCAGCCGTCTGAGGGCGCTGGCCACGGAAGCGCCTTGCAGTGGCAGCGAGGCGAGCCGTCTGGCAGCAGAAAAGGACCGGACGGTGTGGAGTTTGGCCGCGATGGGATGTGCCTGACCCGTTGGTGACGTTTAGAGGCTTGAATGCGACGGTAGCGCGTGCAGCCGTTGAGGCGAGAGCGCGCGTGTTCTTCGGCGGTGTTGGTTTCGTCTGTCAGTCTTGTTAGACATAGATTCCCGCGCGTCCTGGTCTCGAGAAGGGCGTTTGACGGTGCCGAATGACGCAAACTTAACAACTTTCCGAGAGATGCTGCCCTATGGGAATGGAGTAGTTAACTTTTCTTGCACAGTCATTGTGGCGCTAGCGTCGCTTGAGATGGAGACCTCGAAGGACACTAGATCGGCCTTGTTCGCTGGCCAAGCACTTGCACGTACATATTCATGTTTACCCGCGCTGTTCGTATCCCCCCCCCCCCCCCCACGTTTGGTTTATGCTAATCCTGGGTCATTAAGTCCCTTGTGCCAAGCTCGCACAACGATTCAGCTGTTGCATGTTGTATCTAACCAGGTGTATCTGCAGGTTCGAGGTCATTTGAAGGCTGCTGTCAGTTACGAATTGTATCTTAAATGCGGTCTTATTCAGATCGTTTCGGAGAAGCATTATTTGCGTGTCAGCGACGTTAATTTTTACATGGGTAATGACAATGACCTTAACGGCATTTATCCGACATGTAATTTCGGCCCAGCGATGTATGTGTCATCACGTTATGGTGCGTTCATGTTTGAAACATTCCATTTGGATTATTCCGTCCACGAAATATCGTCCAAGCGGTGGTGGGTGTTGACGCCATGTTGAAATCCTGGTCCATTGGGTCAAAGGACCGAGCCCGCCCCTGCTACTGTACAGGAGTTTAACATTGCATTGTGTTACGCGAGTCCATGGTAACAAGAGTGCGACTATTTTAACAGCCCATGCGTACGAGTGTGAGCTCGGGTTCTTGGAAAGCGCGTTTAGTTCGAGCCGTTATCACGGTCTTCCACTTTTTGGCCCGAGCCCGTTAGTTTCCAAAAGGATCGCACAAGCCGGAGGCGGACATGGGGAGTCTGCTGAGTGGCGGAGTGCTGTGTCGTGGATCTTTTGGGCGCATGACCGTTTTGTGGCAGGTGGCTTTGGAAACAGCCGGGGGACGCATGCGGACATTTCGGCTACGGCTCGTCTTCAGCGCCTCTCTAGGTGGCTGCTGGAAGCGCTTCGCGGCCGGCGGTGTATACCGAGTCCCCCTGGTAGCATCCGAGAAAAGTCATGAAGGAGGCCCAGAACCGAACTGCCTTTATCCGGGACCCAGAGATGATTATTGATATAGGGTCAAATCACACGTAACCAAGGTCCGAGACCGCCCGGACTCGTATCCATGCATGCGAGACAAGCCCGTGTGTTAAAGTCTCGTCCGTCGTTAAGAATCTCATCCATCCGTCCGCACTCACCTGTGATGCTTTTTTGTACGAGACGTGCCGAAAATATATTTTGAACTCAGAGATGATAACTCTGGTATGTTTGCTATGATTTTGGACAACTTATGGCGACTGGCGAACCCGTCGGCTTAAGTCCAAGACAGAGCAACCTGGCCTTTTTGCTATTCCAGGGTTAGCTTTGTAGCTGATGTGAAGTTCGCAACTCCGTCACGAGTCCTGTCGGACACGGCCTTACACCAAACCTAGCAGCCTCGCTGATGCTTTATAGATACAGGATGTGCTGTAGCCCTGATACTCGCAGGCTTAAACGCACCATGACACGCGACCCTTCAAACACCTGGTACGTCACGACTTGTGATGTGTTGTGGCCTGCCGCGTACCTTCGTCTGCCGCGTTGCGTGACGCCTCATATTTGTAATGGCATTATCATGTGTGTGTGTGTGTGTGTGATTGGGGCTTTACGACGCACTCGGCTGCTGAGGCTATATGGCGTCGCCTGCCTCTCACCCTGCCAGGAAGGGCGGGCACCGCGGGGAATTGAACCCCGTACCTCTGGTTTCCCAGACGCGCAGTGGTTAACGCAGACGTGTTAACCACTACACTACTGGCACCCCTAATGGCATTATTATAAAGCATTTCATTGCTTGATGTCGGCACCCCTAATGACATTATTATAAAGCATTTCATTGCTTGATGTCGTCAGGGAATTATCCGTTCACCTGTTAATCCTTAAACGCTGTAGCCGGCGACATGCGCCTGCTGATTCTGCAATTGATGCGTCAGAGCTATGGTACGAATATGGCGGCAGTACGCTGCGGGGGGGGGAAAGGTCTGTTCCTTCGTGACGTCTAAGGCCACCTTTGCGGGTCAATACTCCTCATGGTCGAGCAATCAAGCAGGGCCAAACAAACATGCTTTAAGCATGAAAGGCCACAAACTTGTGGTTGCGCAGCACGTCACATTTCTTTTGTCTCCTTTGTCGCATTTTAGTTACTTCACAGCGCCAAAGCTCGTGCCCTCATAAGCCCTAAAACGTGTCTGTTTCTCCGCACCATATCCTTGGAACCTCGATTCCACAACGCCACTGCCAAGCTAATGAGCACAGGGTAATGTGACACGTATATTAGCAAATGGATGGGGCACACATGTGAAGCAATGAAAATGTATGAGGTCACTCGCGCATCTCGCCTTCCTCGTCGTCGTCCTCGCCGCCTTTGACGTACAGCACATTGTTGCAGCGGATCAAAACCTCGCCCAAGCTCCCTGTGCAGTTGCCGTCGATAAATTCCTCTGTGTTGGCCAACTGTCGACAAAAAGAAGCCCTGCATTAGTCAACATCCACAAACATACCACGTTGACAATGGCGCTGTAATATCTGAGCAGCTTACACGGCTAGGCCTCCTCCAACCTGCAGACGACTTCCTATCCACACCAAATCACCACATTGTTTGATCAGTATTTTGAGAACACAATTATTAAAATAATGTCAATTTGAGCTTTGTCTCCTGCACAACAAACTGGATTCAAATGCTGACATGCCAGTAGTAATTACCACCCAGCACACCTGTGCTAAGGCCAGGCAAAGCCAAACATAATAACCACATGATGGGATAATTGTGGTTTTGTGCTTAAGGTATGAAAACATTTTAAAAAAGTAAGCAGAAGTGATAATTAGAACCCTTTGCACCTTTAGCATGCCAATGGTTTGAAAACAAGTGGTGGCTGGAGGTGAGCAAGGTGAGAAGGGGTGGCCAAATTTTATGCAAACTGGATGTGCTGCAGGACTAACAAATTAACATGTGCATATGTGGCAAACAAGGTAGTACATGACACCAGTGGAATCTCACAAAGAGTATTAAAGACACCACTACATCAGCTTGTTCATCATCTTAAATATGGGTTGCTTCTATGACACCAAACCGAAGCTCAGCAAATGATGACCTTTATTTGTTGGACTGTAGATGATAAGTAAAAATCTATCTCACATGCACCCCAAGCAGAAGTGGTCTGGTGCCCATTTATCCCCAACACAAATATGAGCAAGTATGTGAAAAACACTGGTCTGGATATTCCAGAAGTAGACGATAGTACTTGCCTGAAGATTCATGTAGCCATCCACAGATACCAGAAATCCTTTGTATTCTTGTCCCCACTTCAGTTTTACAAGCACTGACTTTCCAGTTAGGTTGTTCAAGAAGGGCTTGGGATTGATGGGCATAGGGGCCTGCAAAGACCAAGTACAGTCAACAATGTGGCCAGCCTTGATCAGATTGATGAACAACACATGACCAGACCAACTAACAGAATCCATCAGGTCACACTGCATGTGTTGCATGTCATAAGATGCATTTCCTCATGTTGCCCATCCAACTCTGTCTGTCTGATCCCATCCAGTCCAAATTGTCAAATTTTCAAGAAACATCTGCTTGAAATGAAAAATGGGCTAATTGGCCTTGGAATATATCAAGCAGTGCCCCAGGTTTTTTAAATTGGTTCCTCATTCTATGCATAGAAATTGGTAGTGACTGAGCATCTACCCAAACAGCCCCGCACATACTATGTGCACCCTGACCTTGTTACCACTCATTGTTGAGCCAGACGCGTTGGTCGTAGCATCTCCTTTTGTGCAGTCTGTCTCACAACTATCTGTGTCAGCCCCTGAACCATATCACGCGAAGCATATACAGAACCCATCATGTCTGTTGTTCTGCACATTCGGACAAGCCCATCCTCGCTGCCAGGCTTACCGCCATCTCTTGTCCTTTTCGTAGATTTTCTGGGACGAAGAAGTGCAGAAATCAGACGAGTACGATCTTCACGGCTCGTTACCAATACGCCCAACCAATCCCCTAACCAAGGCTCTCGCGACTAACCAGCCGTACCGGCGATGTTCGAAACGTTTCACCGGTTTCGCCTAACCAGGAAATGGTGCGCCATTTACGAAACACAACGTGCCCGCCTTTTACTAAAACACTGTAGTGGTCTGAAGGAAAAACGAAAGAAAGCTTTTTGAAACATACTGGAGTCTGATGGCAAAAATCAGCAACGATGACGGGTACTAATTAATTCAGTGGTGACCAGTAGCATGAGCAGGGTCAGTACAATGGCACGCTTCTCTCTTAGGTCCCGAGGGGCTCGAAGGGCCTACGACACCGGCGATATAAGGCCCGATTTGGGAGTTCGAAGGGCACTAAGAGATACTGGAGGCTCACCGGGTTCAATTTTGGGGCTGGGCCTCTTAAAAGTGTCCATGTAGCTGACAATTCACACTCCAGAACCCTGGTAGTATAGGGTTTCTCAAACTTTAATCACACTGCCCACATCGCATCTGGTTGTGATCTGTGACTCTTCTCCGACAGATTGCACCAACCTTAGGGGATAATAGATCGGTCAGGTGCCGGTTCCGTGTATTCTTACCTTAATAAAATGACTTATGGCTATTTATGCTACAAGACCTGTTCACCATGGACTCCACGACCGCAAAAAGGACGCCATAGCCACAGCTCGATAGCCACGCATAGCCACAGCTCGATAGTTCACCGAAACACTATATTATCGCATACGGTACACATCATGCGGTACAAATACGCATGGGTGTAGGAAGAGGGGGCCAGAGGGCTATGGCCCCCACTTTTCAAGGTGGGGGGGGGGGCAGCAATGTTAACTGCCCCTCCCCACACACACACTTTTCAAATTAGGGTTGCGTTTAGCTTACCTTTGCACTACATCAAACATCCATGTCGATTTGCCCACTTCACCAGTCATCCTTCTCAAGACGCGTCATCTTTTTCGTTTGCCTTTTGGCCATCGCTTAGTATCACGGCCGCGGGCCGACGCCCCGCGGCCTATGGAGACTGCAACGCCGGGCGTCGAGGCTGTCGTTGTTGACTTGCGAGCGCGCATGTTCAAAACCATACGACATAGTTAATCAGTTATCGATTCTGACAGAATCTTGAGCGTTTTAAAACGAACATGGACTAGCCACGTTAACACAAATTTGGGACCCCATCTCATCTTCAATATACGTCCAGGGGTCCTCCATTTCTCTGAAAAAACATGGAGCTGGAGTCTATGTGACAATTATTGGACCACCTACGGCGATCAGGGATGCTGTCGCGTCAGTGAGGGTTACTGTGCTAATCTGGGGCCAACAGCGCGGGTCGGAAGGCATTCCGTGTCGGGAAACGCTGTAATGTGATATATCCTCTAATGGCCTCCAGATTGACCAGAAGATCCCGCCCAGTGTCGCTAGAATGACAGCCAGAATGACATTCGCGATGGGACGGAGCGGCCCTTCGGCCCTTGACCGGAACCGGTAATGTGCCCCTGGTGTTCTACTCAAGGGGCCCCTTGCCCAGAAGGAAATAAGGGTTGCATTATTGTTTAGTGGAGTGGTGGTCTCATTATTGTTCAATAGGGTGGGTCGAAATAACATTTAAAAAACGAGCAAGGCCATTCCATGTTTTCCTGAGAACGCTCATTTTTCAGAATGGCTCGGTGAGCAAAAAAAATTATCACCAGGTTTGAACATGCCCGCCCCCAGCCTCGAGAGCAAGGACAGCCTGGCTTGCAGCTTCCGTAAAACGGAGCGGCTTCGGCCACTGCAAGTGCCACGAGACGGCGGGCGCCGTGTTAATCTGTCTCCTGGACAGATTAATGACTACAGAAACACGAAAAATAGAGATTCTACCTTTACTCTCCCAGTCCCATCGCCAGATTCCAGCACCCCTTCACGGTGATTTAAGGGCCGATCCGTCCTATCTGTAGAACTATATCTGTAGAACCCAGATAAACATTCAGTCCAAAAATCGCACACGTAAAATATGCACCCATACTGCCTTTCAAATTAAAATTTGATGTCCTGGAGCGCTCAGAGGTACTTCTTTCAGAAGGGTCTTCATTTTCATCCGACCGTTGGCCACGACCCAATATTTGCTGCTGGCCACCGCTGCAAGCCCTACGGAGACTGCGACGTCTGGCGTTGAGACCTTTGTTGCTGAGATTTGCGAGTGCGTATGCCCAAAACTACGCCACATAAATCGTCATCAGTTTCGTTCACCGGTGGACCACGGCGAAGAGTTAAACACTGAGCTAACGCTCCGTGAATAATGGAGACTGCCACCCACGCCTGGTGTCGAGGTTTTTGTTGTCAAGATTTGCGAGCGATGTTAAAAAGTCGTGTTACAGTAAATGATATCACCTATCGATTCTAACCGAATGCTGCACATTTCCAGACAAACATGGCTTGGCCATATTAACACACATTGTTGACCACTCGATCTACAATCAAATTTTCTTCTTCAAATTTCAATCAAACATATCGATCTACAATCAACCTTCGCGATGTTCTTAATATCTGTAGAATCTAGATAAACATTCCGACAAAGCTCCTGAATTACCTCCATCTATAAAGAATCCACTACGTCATTGTAAATTACGGGCACCGGTGATTTATTCCATGCGGTCGTTCAACGCCTGGTTTCTGCAATTTATCCACTGCAAAACACAAACACAATTGATCTCACGCTAGTGTCTGGTTTCTGTTCTAGTTACAAGGTAAAAATAGCAATGAAAGGAGGAAAATCACGTCCCTTGTTCACAAACAAGCTATATCCAGGGATTTTTTTTTGGGGGGGTCACCATAAGAGGGCTTTTTGTCAGCCACGCCCCCGCCTACAAACAAAAGCAGATCAAGCTGTCTACATTGAATGATGGGCAGTTGTCCGTGGTCCGTTGGGCCAATTCATATCTAAGGCAGACAGATTCCCGGAGGCTTTTTTCTGGGGTAGTGTGGCGTAAGAGAAGATAATTTGGAAAAAATACTCTTGCAGGTGTCCAGCATATATTTTACACACTAATTAGTAGCAATGCCGATCCAGAAATATGCGACAAAGCAGCCATACGATCAGTTTGCAGTCAGTCACGCGGGAGGCGGCCAGGCCAGGGCAGTGGCCGTCGCCGACGGCGGACAGGAGCAGTGACCGGATAAGAGTTATAGGGCAGAAGGACTTTCATTCTGGGGCTTGATTTTTAAGGGAGAATCTTCAGTTTCATGGTTCTTGTCGCATTGTTCTTGGGAGTTTCAAGCTGCCGAATTTGTTTCCGCCTAAAGTGCTGCGACAAGCCTTTTCTCTTGAGAAGCAGCTAGCGAAGAGAAAGCGCATGTAAAATCTGTCGCACTGTGAGCCTTCGATTCACTTTCAAAGTTCTCACCACTCTATGTCCAGGCTGTATTTTGGCATCTACTGTGTGGAGGCAGATGCCTCCTTAATGACCTAAAAGGCCCACTCGTTCGTACAATTTCGCCCCCCCCCCCCCCCCCCCCCCCAGGAATGACAACGATGAAATGGACGGACAATCTTGGGAAGCTGAATAGCCTGATTTGCCGAATGACATAGATGAGCCGAATAAGCAAGATTGTGCACCTGTGAGAAACAGCTTTAGATGCACATCTAGCACAGCAGCTATAACATATGAATAAAGTTTCATAACAACCTCCATCTCACCCCCCCCCCCCCCCGGCCTTCGGGCTTGCTTTCTAGAAAAAGTTCCTGAAGTACGCCCTCAGCTTGCCCGCCCCCCTACTTTTTGAAACGTACCTACGTCTATGCAAATATGTATGTATTGGCAATGTGCCTCAAATTCTGATAACGGCAATCTCTGCACATGCACACTGAGGCGCGCCTCACGATGTCCGCGCGTTTGTTGTCCCATGCGCAGCTGTTTTTTACCCGTGAAACGCATACCTTGAACACGGGTAGTCTGCACCTGCGCGGACACCGATTGGCCGCCACACAGAGGGCGTTTCCGCATCGAGTCACAGCTGCATGGAACCGTCTGCCATCGTACGCCTATCATGCCATAACGCTGAACGTGTTTAAGACCTCCATACGTGCTGTGGTCTCGACCACGGACCATTGACCTTTGATCTGATCCGGTCATAGTGCGTAGGTAGGCCTGTTTAACTCTCTGACCATTGCCGTATCACTTTATTATGTCTTTTGTGAGTGCTGTTAGATACTGCACCATTCGATCTGTTATATGAAACACAGTCATTTCCTGAAACTGTAAAAGCCACTTTGTGGATGGTTTCCAAAATACTGGTTTGATGCGATACACAAAGGACAACATAGTACGTCGCCTGTCGCCAATGCCTCGCCAGGCACCTGCTAAAGCCAAGACAAGATACAAGTTTCAATGGCTTCGCCACAAGACAACAGTTTTACTACCCATCTTGCCATGCAATGTCAAGCGTTCCGCCAAACATTATGACTTTTGACGAGCGTGTTTCTCGGTGCGAGCCAGCAGCTAGTTTCGCACGACCCCACGGAGTTCCGCTCCCGTGATTCGGTCCGGTATCAGACCGAAGATCCCGCTGCGTCTCTGGGTCTCGAGATGGCGCCCAGCTGCAGGTCCTGTTCTGCCGATCTCTGGGCGTCTCCGAGCTCCGCGCTGCAAGCCCGCTTCAAGCCGTCTTCTGGTGAGCGTCTGACGGTGGTGGGTGGCGCGCTCCGCTCGAGCAGCACGAGGGGCGCGGCCGGTCGGGGGCGCCCCCTGCCTGGTTCAGGCGGACCGTGCTGCCAACAGCGGCTAGCGGGCCCATCCTGGCACGCACCACCCGCAACAGGTATCTGCCGACACACCGTGTGGACAGGTAGACGCGGCGAAAGATAGACACGGACGCTGCGGTGGGTTCCAGGGGGTGCCGCGTTAACGAAGAGGACAAATATCAGCAGGCTGAAAAATTCATTGACTGTACACTGATGTCACTAGAAAATGTCTTCGATATTGCACTACGCCTGACCACTTCTGATTGACGCATTCGTCGTTGTTATTCGGGCTTAAGGGCACGTCGACAGCCGCAGTCGTTTTACGCCCACAACGCACCCGTCGATAACATTATCATCAACATCGCCGTCTTTATGGTCATCTCAGTGTACCAGCTTCATGTTATAACCGTATTCACTGACAAATGCCTGGCTTGCGCGATGCATTATAAATTGATACATACACGAAGCACAACCGTGCATGCGGGTACCTTCCTAAACAACACGGACTTACCGAATGGCGTCCTCGATCATGAAGTCGTATTTGGCCGACACCTCAATCCAAGCGAGGAAGTCGGCTTGCTTCACCACATCCTCTACCTCGCATTGCGTCACCGCTCGGCCCCGCGTGACGTCACACTGCAAAATCCGTATAAAATGCAAGACGCACTAGGTTCAAGCACGCGACTGAGATAGGGATGCTCTTTAAGTCGGGGGCGCTACTTCACATTCGGTGCTTTTTAGGCCATGGGCCAATCTTAATGGCGTTCGGGCTGTTCTGGCTCACTTTTTACCCAACCATAGCTTTGCAATAATTGAAAACGCTGTAAGTACAATGCGACGTTACAGTATTACCTGCTGACAAGTTAGTAAATACTGCGTGACAAGCACGAGACAAAGAGCGAATAACCACGTTTTGGCACATGCGTGTGTGCGGCAAATGCCCGAGTACAGTCTTTCAACACAGATATGACGGATACCAGTTAGAGGTGTTTTGGGTTTTTAGACGAGCGAGATTGTGTCATAGGGGAGAGTGGGCTGAGCTATATCATGTCCAAGCAGCATCAGGGTGATTGATTGCAAATGTTTGCAACGGATGGCCGTCTTGGGTCACTTAGCTGACGCGCAGCAGCTCCCTCTACCTGTCAATGCACCTTCGATCGCATGCCTATGTGTATGCGGTCTTGGGATAAGCGCAACAAACACATTTTTTGCACATCGTTGACAACTATAGTGATCGGTCTGAATGTGTGTTTAACGGCTTGCAGCATAATCAGACCAATCTAAAAGCCATACTGAATAATGGGGAAGTGCACCTGTCGTATACACTGCAAAACATTTGGCATGCGTTTTCCAAGGATTTCGGGGTGGGCCGAACTTTCCTCCAAGGTTTCGGGCGGTACGTGTTGTATCAGCTGTGCATGGGGCATGCTATATCGGGGATATAATTCACCGAAATCATGGAACTGACTGACTTACTGCCAATGATTGACCGACATGATTGCCATTACTTCTGTCACCTAGAAAACAAGTCAAAGGTCCCCATACGTATGCAGACCCAGTATTTCTACATGAGAAACCGAAAGCGAGATGGCGGTGGCCGCAAGACAAACTCTGATAAAAGTGACAAAAAGTACCATGTCGCAATTACGACAAATTACAAAATAGCACTGACGAGCGCATTTTAGTCTGCATGTCGTAACGCATCCAGCTCGCCTGTGATACAACTAGCTTTAGGACGAAATAACATTACAATAGCTTTTCCCACGACATGATACAATTTACCGCCAGGATGCTACAAGTTGTCTGATTTATAAGGAGGCCATTGAAAAGTCAGTCACCAAAAAACGAAGGTGTGCTTCACAAAGTTTTGCCCGCTGAACATGAAGCTGAATGATGTAGCCGTCTACAGATATAACGGTCTTGGTCCTATCCTCACTATTTACAGCAGAAGGGAGTTCAGAATAAAAACTGATCCAACTTTCCCTTCTCTTCCCTGTGTGATCAATGTTACCAAGCCAGTGATGGCAGGCTGCATGTTTAGGTGCCTAAGCGTAAACGAGTGCAGGCCGTGTTTTTTTTTGGAAATTCACGAGAGTAAGACATCAGCGCAATTGAGCATTCTACTCTGCTGAACTTAGCGGGAGTAGGTTAGCTCTCTCTCTCTCTCTCTCTCTCTCTCTCTCTCTCTCTCTCTCTCTCTCTCTCTCTCTCTCTCTCTCTCTCTCTCTCTCTCTCTCTCTCTCTCTCCTCCTCTCTCTCTCTCTCTCTCTCTCTCTCTCTCTCTCTCTCTCTCTCTCTCTCTCTCTCTCTCTCTCTCTCTTCTCTCTCTCTCTCTCTCTCTCTCTCTCTCTCTCTTCTCCTCTCTCTCTCTCTCTCTCTCTCTCTCTCTCTCTCTCTCTCTCTCTCTCTCTCTCTCCCTCTCTCTCTCTCTCTCTCTCTCTTTCTATATATGTATATATATATATATATATATATATATATATATATATATATATATATATATATATGCCTGCGATGCCTGTTAATCGACGAAGTGAATGAACTTAGAAAAGTAACGTTTTTGGTGATGGTGTGGAAAGTATAGCAATATATATATATATATATATATATATATATATATATATATATATATATATATGTGTGTGTGTGTGTGTGTGTGTGTGTGTGTGTGTGTGTGTGTGTAGCTAATGCTTTGGGCGAACACTGAACACAGTAAACTGGGCTTTGTCTAAGTCAGAGATAGCTGATATTGTGTAAGGTGGGCTCCACGCTGCAGATATCTTAAGGTACTAATTTTCAGTAAAATCTGAGACATGGCCGTGTTAAATCAGCCTGCCGGGGCTGCGCTGTATGGGCGACAACGGTTGAATGAGGTAAAGTACATAGCCCATGCTCATACGAAGAGAAATCAAAGTTCCACATCTGTATGGAGCCTTGGACCGAAATAGCACTCTAGAAGATCTTTCAGTGCACTTTAGAGCCCTGACATTCTTAAGACCTAAACCCACTTAGTTTCTGAGCTGCACGCCCGCAAAGATGAGGAGACCTTTTTGTGCAGACTGCCTCAAGGTTACCCAGGCATCCATGGCAGCATAATAACGTCATTCAAATCCCACTGCTCTACTGGCCATGTGGCATCCAAGGTAAAAAAGCAATTGCCAAGTCGTTTATATCTGGTGTTCGCGAACACTGCTTCTAGATATAACGGCCGTCAATTGACCCACATTCACTGCTGTACAAGTTACGATGATATTATCAAACAATGACATGTTGAGGAGCATATTTACTATATACCAATGGTTGAAAGTGTGCTTATTTCATCACATGGGATGTTTGCTACCATATCTTGAAATGCAAAGCATTCCCTTTAATTCGTCGTTCACTGAAAAGTGCGAAGCACAAAAACTGTTAAAAAAAACTGTGCGCGCGAGTTAAAAAGCCATTATTGTGCGCCCCGCATTGTGCAGTTTTGACCGGCTTGGGATGTTTCAGGAAACACAGGCATAATGTGCCCAATGATTCAAGGGTTCTGTGTTTACAGTTTCGATCAACCCACAAGGAAATGTGTGTTTGTCACTTGTTTGTCACACAACTAAAAACAGCACAAAAACCGTGCTCACGCGTCCTGCTTACACGAGTGGTCCATGTGACACAGCCATGTGTCGTATGCACAGCGGCATGCCATGTCACTGTGTCGGACATGCACTTTTCCTGCCCGTTCACATATTTGAAGCCTGCGTTGCCAGTATCTCTGACCGGCATCAGTCCACACGCATGAGGTCGGATACGCTGTTCGGTCTGTGTCGGGCCGCGACCGGACGGCTGGTCACCTTGTTGGCCAGCAGCAGGCTCGGGACGCCGCCGCCGCCGGGCAGACAACACAGCTCGTCGATCCGCCGCTTCCACTGCAGAGCGCTGCGCAGCGACTGCCGCTCGCCCAGGTCGAACACCACCACGCAGCCGTGCGCCTCCTTGTAGAACACCTCGGCCATGCCCTGGAACGACCACTCGGCTGCCGCGCCACGGACGGTGACGTGTTAGTGGAGCGTGCCGCTGCAAGCGCCCGGAGGCGCGTCATCGAGACGGACTGCAGACACTGCTGGCTAGCAGGCGGCTACCCGGTACGAAAAGCCCCGCTCGGGTGGCTGCGCACCGCTGTATCCGACTCTGGCTGTGGAACGGTGCAACAGCTGGTCATTCTGTGACGGCTCACGAATGGGTCGTGTCTTTGTGCGAGCATCCTCGTAGTGGCACGCGTTTTGCGCGTAGTAATATCGTACCATGTGGATGTGATAAGAGCCCACTGGTTTGCGAATACTCACGTGAATTAGGTCGATTTTTGGCGTCATTTTGGAGGAGGCATCGCCGTGTCAGCAGGGTTTTTTTAATAACAAAATTATTGGCGAATCGTCACGTTTGCTGACCGCAAAGAGCTATTCGCTACATTTCAGGGTTTATAATTAACCTATGCATTCACGACACACATTTTTTCATCCACCTGCTCACATGACGTGATTATTTTAGCTCGCGCACCCACCGACACATCCACTGACTTCGTCATCACAAATCATTCATTCATTCACAGAC